ATTTTTTTAGTTGTCAATAAACCTTTATTTTATTTATTTATATGCAGTGCTGAGAATCAAATACAGTGCCTCACACATGCTAAGCAAGTGCTGTACCACCGAACCACAACCCCAGCCCTGTTCCATTGGTTTTCCTGTCTGTTTTGGTCCTGGTACCATGCTGGTTTTGTTACTATAGCTCTGTGGTATGATTTGAAGTCTGGTATTGTGATGCCTCCTGCTTTGTCTTCTTGCTTTGGCTCTAGTGGATTTCTTATTTTTCTAAATGAATTTTAGAACAGCCTTTTATATTTCTGTGAAGAATATCTTTGGAATTTTGATGGTAATTACATTGACTCTCTACAGCGCTTTTGGTAGTATGGCCATTTTGATAATATTAGTTCTGCCTATCCAGGAACATAGGAGGTCTTTCCATCTTCTGAGGTCGTCAATTTCTTTCTTTAGAGTTCTATAGTTTTCATTGTAGAGGTCTTTCACTTCTTTTGTTAGATTGGTTCCCAAGTATTTTATTTTAGGCTATTGTGAATTAGATAATTTTCCTAATTTCTTTTTTAGCAGATTCATCATTGGGGTGTAGGAACATGATTGATTTATGAGTGTTTATTTTGTATCCTGCTGCTTTGCTGAATTCATTTTTGAGCTCTAGAAGTCTTCTAAATATAGGATCATGTCGTCAGCAAACAGAGATAATTTGAGCTCTTCTTTTCCCATTTGTATCCCTTTAATTTCCTCTTACTTGATTACTCTGTTTAAGTTTTTAAGGACTATACTAAATAGGAGTGATAAAAGTGGGCATCCTTGTCTTGTACCTGTGTTTAGAGGAAATACTTTCAGTTTTTCCCCATTTGGGATAACATTGGCCTTGGATTTGTCATATATAACATTATAATGTTAAGGTAATTCCTTCTATTCCTAGTTTTTCTAATGTTTTAAACATAATTGGGTGCTGTACTTTGTTAAATACTTTTTCTGCATCTATAGAGATAATTATGTGATTCTTGACCTTGATTCTATTTATGTGGTGAATTATACTTAATTTCCCTATGTTGAACCAACCTTGCATCCCTGGGATCACTTGATTATTTCTTACAAAGAGCTAGCATACCACTGATGAAAGTTTAAAATAATTTGTACAACCAATCACCTGTTGACTGAGTGTTCATTTTATTTCTCTTATCTATTTCTTTTCTGTTCCTCACCCTGCAACTATGAAAAATTACTCTCATAAACGCAAAGGGATTTTTTTTTTTTTTGGAACTGGGAGAGTTGAACCTTGGATGGGAGGGTTGCCACTGAGCTAAGTCCCTACCCCTTTTTATTTTGAGATAGGATCTCTCTAAGTTGTTTAGGGCCTTACCAAGTTGCTGAGGCTGACCTTGAACTTGTGATCCTCCTGCCTCAGCCTCTTGAGTCACTGGGATTACAAGCATGAGCCACTGTACCCTACATTAAAGGAAATTGGAGGCATACTCTACTGAAGAGGTTTGGGAAGTTCCACCAAAGTGAAGCTGAGTCCAGAAAGGGCAGAAGAAGAGACAGCTGGCTTCTTATGACAACTGAAGCTACCTGATTGTTCCCTTGTATGGCATAAAAAGGTGAGGATTGCTGCCCCAATTTTGAGAATGTCCTATGTGGACACTTTCTATGAGGCTGTCCAACAGTGCTGTTCCACTTTGAACACTGTTCCTCCATTTGAACACTTCCTGTCTGTTGTCCTGAGCTGTCTCCCCAACCCTTGGCATTCTGAGCAAGTTCCACTGAGAACAACAACAAAGTGGGTCCCTTAGGCTTTGAAAATTCTGCAGCTTGGAAAATCGTGGGTGGTATAAATGTTGAGTGGAAGTGGGAAGTTTATTCCATTTAGTTTAAGCTCTTCCAGAAAGTGAGCTGTAAGCTGTATGCCACTGATCTTTATAACCGCGTCTCCAGCCCAGGTTTATATTCAAATGCACTTTATTTCTGCCTTTCTGTTGAGCATCTCTGCTTAACTGCCCACAGCACTGCAAATTCAACAAACATCTATAAAAGAGAAACTCTCATCTTACCATCTCTGCCTTTTACCAGCACCATGGCTTTGGGCAGCACTGTCATTTCTTCATTTGCATGTGCCCCAGAATATTGATCTCTGGGGATTTAAATGGTATTCTTTATGCAGAAGGCCTTAGTGTTCAGAACATGTTAATTCCCCCCTCTCCTCTTGCCTCTCACTTTCTTCCTTTTTTTAAATTTTTTTTATTTTTTCCTTTTTGGAGGAAAAAAATTCTCAATTTAGGGGAAAAGAAAAGTTCATAGGGTTTTCAAAGAGAATGTGCTGCTACTTAAGGTATAAAATATTGTTTAGATACATAAGTCAGGTATGAACCCTGAGAGCAATGTGACGCTTGAAGTTGGTGCTTTACCACATTTTCCATTGGCCAAGTGTTGGCAACAGGTCCACCTTGGCCCCTGGAGCCCTACCTCCACTAGTTTGTTCTGCATGCCAGTGTGGCCAGCTCACAAGGCCATGGCGAACTTGCGGTTTTTCTGTTCCTGCTTATCCGTCTGAGACATATGTATCCCACGGGAATGCCTTGACCTTTTCTGGTCTGATGGACTTATTGTTAAGGGAGGTTTCGGTACCTGACAATAATAGATGTTGAAACTAAATTTCTCCCCCCTCCCTCCTGCTTTTGGGTAGTTTTCCACTTCTGCTGCTTGGGGTATAAAAAAAGGTGTGTTAGCAATAAAGATTATTGACTCCTGGATGAAGAACCTTGGTGTCCTGTGTGTCTTTTAACCTCGCCGTCCCTCGCCGGACTCGGCTCCCTTGGCCGGACGCGGCAGCCAAGAGTGAGAAGAGGTGGGTGATGAGTGGGGTCAGTGGCTGTCATCCTGGCATTCTTGTCACCAGCTGCAAGGGCCTCTAGTCCAGAGCAGCCTGGAGGTGATGCTGCAGCTTAGGACTCTAGCCTGGCTAAGGGAAAGAGTGTTGTTTGAGGCCATCTAAATTGCTCCTGAGTTTCATTTATTTTTTTTTTCCCTTTCATTTGAAAATTGCCAAAGGCTGGCAGACACATCCATCAGGCCTGTATAAACACAACTGCACCCATTCTCTCATTATCTCCTGAGCTGGGTCATTGGAAAGAGCTCATAAACACAGGAAGACAGAACATAATTATTTAATAGGTTGTCAGAAGCCTGAGAGCATCAAGGCCCAGCAGCATACCAGGAAAAGTGAAAGATCGTTTATGTGGAAATGGTTGTGGTTTTGAAGCAGAGAGAGGGGAAGGGAGGAAAATTTCTGGGGTGGAGGAGAATGTAGAAGAAATAGAGTGGGAATGTGGCTTGCTCATAACAGCCAGTCAGCTTTTAGAGGACAATCTAAAAGTGTGCTCTGAACCTGGGTGTCCACTATGTGCAAAACACTGTGCTGAACTGGAGATTCAAAGGCACCCAAGACAGTAGTGGTCTTCTACTGAGAGCCATAGCCAAGTAGGTTTTGTGCCCAGCCAGACTGCGGCAGTCTTCTGTCAGCTATCTGCCTGTCTGGGATCAGACAGAAGTGGGTTCAAAGCATAGCTTCACTACTTACTCAACTTTGGTCTGGTCATTTTTTCTTCCTGAATCTGTTTGAGGATCTGCCAAATGGGGAAACTGATTCCATTTTTATAAGGGTAAGCTGTAACACATGTAAAGCTCTTTGCAGGATGCCTGGAATATAGTCACTGGTACTCCCTGTCCCTGCCCACCTTCTTCCCTCTCCTGTCCACAAAGTGCCTTCTACTTCTTTGTGGCTATGTTCCTAGGGTCTAAAGGAGTGTGCAGGAGCACACAGGAGGGGAGAGGGTGTCAAAAGGCAAAGTTGTGCGTTGGGAGAAATCAATGAACACATTCAGAACAGAGTTAGAAAGAACTCCCTCCTTGGTCTACTTTGGATCTTACAGAGAAAAAGAGCTATCAGTTTCCCATTGCTAAAGCATGGAGGGAGATTAGTAATTACCATAGTTCATGTGGGGATAATGTCCTGTGAAAAATATTTCTCCATTCTAATTCTCTCAGTTCAGAGAAACAAAGCCTTGTGAAGCAGGAAAAATGATAAGATAATGAGTCATACCCTTAGAGAAATGCAAAAGTAAGCTGATTGTCCCACAATCCCATTGTTTTCCTTACCTGAGTTCTCCAATAAACTCAATGTGCTGTTCTCAAGTTAGACCGAATTTTTGTGGTGACTTAATTTAGTCCTGAAATTTGAGCCAGTAGCATAACCACAACCATAGCTTTACTTAAAGTGCCTGAACTTAACGTTCCAATTTATAAGAGAGCATTGGCTTAGATAATGTCTCTGCCCCTTACTGCCTGAGTGACTCTGGCCATGTGCTGTGGCTGTGCCCTCATTTAAAACAATGGGGTAATAGTGAGACAATGATTGTCTGTGGTCAGTGACAGGGGTTAGCTAAGGTATGTTGACACATTTGGTCAATATTAGGGATAAAGCCTCCCCTTCCCCCTCTTTCTCCCACCCCTCACTCTCCTTCCTCTACCCCAATGGTCTCCTTTCTACTTACATGAAATCCTTTATTTTTTATTTTTTTTCCTTCTACCTTCTACATATGAGAGAAAACAGAATATTTGTCTTTCTTTGTCTGGCTTCTTTCACTCAATGTGACGCTTTCTTCCATTTTCCTGCACATGACATGATTTTATTCTTCTTAATGCCTGGATAAAGCTCCATTGTGTAATTTACCACACTTTTTTAAATCCATTCATCTGTTGACAGACACCTGGGATGAACCCCTAACTTGGCTATTGTGAATTGTGCCACAATAAGCATGGGTGTGCATATATCTTGAAAGTATGCTGACTTTAATTCTTTTGGATAAATACCAAGGAGAGGGATAGCTGGATCACATTTTTAAGTTTCTGAGGACCCTCCATACTGACCTCCATAGTGGTTATACTAACTTGCCGCAGTCCGGCTGCGGCAAATAACCGGGGGGGTGACGAATAACTTGTGTACTTGATACAGCAGGAGTGGAAGCCGTTTATTGCAGGACAGGAGCAGTATTTATACATTCCATACAGCTTATCTAATTAACATAAACTAGATACATCAGTCAACCAATCAGGAATCTCCACACTTAATGGCTCGCTTTTGTTACTTCTCAAACCACTCCCTCTGGCATTTTGCCAGGCACCATCCAGACTTGTTTACGAACTCTAACATTCCCCTGGCAAAATGCCAGGTGTTATTTTGACTTGTTTACAGACTCTAACACTAACTTACATTCCCACCACCAACAGTACGTAAGAGTTCTTTCTTCCTTGAATCTTCACCAGCATTTATTGTTGCTTGTTGTTTTGTTTGCTACTGGGGACCTGACCCAGGAATGCTTTACATCTCCAATCATTTTGATTTTTTATTTTGAGGCAGGGTCTAAGTTGCCCAGGATGGCCTCGAACCTGCGTTTGTCCTGCCTCAGCCTCCTGAGTAGAATCACAGGCACCCAGCATGTTGCTTGTATTCTTGATGATTCTCACTGGAGTGAGATGGAATCCTAGAGTGGTTTTGATTTGTATTTCCCAGACAGCTAAAGATGTCATGTAATTTTCATATAATTGTTGGCCATTTGTATTGAGAAACTGATGTGACCCCATCACATCAGTTTCTCAATACAAAAAAAAAAAAAAACAATCTCTACCTCAGAGCAAAGCCTATCCAAGGAATGGGTGTGACCCTTGTCCCTGGAAAAACCCACAGAGCCTGAGGAGGCAGATAGCCACCCTGCTGAGTTGTTTGTCTGCAAATAACAGGAGAGATCTGTGGTGCCAGGTGTCCCTGACTCAGTTAGGCTAGGTGAGGACCCATAACAACTTCCTAGCAACCATCAATCAGCATGAGACAGGGAAATACCTGGGATACCAGATGACCCCCCAGTAGTTTATGGTGGTTGATAATATGTTAGGAAACCATGTAGTTTAGCACATACACCCCTCATGGATTAAACCAATCCGTTCAAACAAATTCCCCTCGTGTACTAACCAATCACCCCTACCCAACTTGTTCCCACCAGTGAATGTGCTAATCAATGCTAAGAGTTGTTGTTTAAATTTCCTGTGGTGTGGAATGATTTGCTGTGTGATGTTGTGACTCATAGAGTATCCCCCAAAACCTATAAAATCTCATTGAACATAGGACCAGGGCTCACTTCCTGGGAAGTGAGCTGCTTCAGAAACTGTTGTGAGTCCAGGCTCAAGCTTGCAATAAAGACTCTTGTGTGATTGCGTTGGATTCGGCTCCTGAAGGTCTGTTGGAGTCCCAGGAATCTGGTAATACAGTACTTCTTTTGAAAAGGGTCTGTTCATTTCATGCACCCATCTATTAAATGGGTTGTTTGTTTTTTTCATTTGCCTGCATGTTGAGTTTTATCACTAGGTAATACTGGATTATGAAAGAGCTACACTCTTGAACTAATGAGTTTGAGTCCCATGGAATCACCTTCTCTGAACAGTTGCTCTTGGGGTGCCATTGTCCCTCCTCCAAACCCCCAGCATCATGAAATCAGCCTGAGGCAGAATAGAGAGGCTTTTGTAGGGTGTTGTGCAGGGCCATCCCCCACACTTCATCACAATATGGCTTCTCAGTCAGGAGCCGTGGAACATTCCTCAGGGCCAGGTTGTGGCAATGGAGGAACTGGACTGGTTTTAAATCACAGCCTGTGTGAGTTCTATAAAGGCTGGGTGCTCCTATTTGTTCCATCATGAAGTTCTGAGGCAGATCTGTGCAGATCCCCTGTGTGGGAGGGTAAAAAACCTCTTCTACTCTCCAAGATTCAGTACCTGGAAATTAACTGACAAAAAACACATTAAGAGGAGAGAAAAGGTTTTTCATATGCATATGAGCTAACAAAAGGAGTAGCCAGCCTGGTCCACAGCTAAAGTTAGAGATTTACAGACCTAAATTAGTAGTGGGAGAATAAGAGTCTCTGGGAAGAACAGTTTTCTTTAGAAAGACAAACAGATTCTTAGGAGAGAAAAGAGAGATAAGAACGTCTGTGATACTGTTTGTCCATACAGGAGCAAATGGTCCTCCTGTCTTCTTAGGGCCATATAACACCTGGTGACTTATGCTCAGTGTGCTATTTATTGCCCCTGGGAGTAGATCCATCCTGAAGAGTGACTATAAGTCAGCCTCTTTTCCTATAAGTAGCAGCTGTTAGATAAAGGAAGCTTTTTTCTACGCTGCTGAGTTTCAAATGTCTTTAGCTTAAAGCCTCTTCATAGCAACTCTGGGGTTCCAAGCAGGTCCTGGAAACTGCACCCCATGTCTCACTATGATTCCTTTGCTAGTCAGAACTATTTTTCCTTTGCCCCCTTGTTTTTGAGTCCTGTGTAGTTTATAAAGCAGCATACATCCTTTCTGGTAAAAAGAATAGATTTAGATGATTATATTTAGAATATTTACATTTAGAAGATTATACGACACCTTGAATGATTTCTTAACAGTTTCCTTATGTACATTTAATCTTCTTAAATAGATTATAGTCAAAACAAAAGGAGAATCATTTTTCAAGTTGCTGGGATTACAGGCATGTGCCACCATGCCCAGCCATTTTTATTACTTCCTTTATGTCTCTCATTGTGTCATCTGTCTCCAAGAAAGAATTAGACAGGCAAGAGATTTCCTGGGGACAGGGAGCAGGAGGGGTGAGAAGCATCTTTAGTTCCTGATGTAGATATGTCACCTATGAAAGGAGAGAGCAAAGTCAGGCAGGAAGAGTTCTGTGTAACAGGAGCTCCTACCTGCAGGCCAATGGGGAGAGCCAGAGCAAAGGTTCTCCAGCAGAGCAGTCTGCCTTGGATAGAGAATCTTCTGGGAGAAGTCATTGGAGACCTGGCCTCTGGATGAAGATGAAGACTTGGATGGATCTGAATGGGCATAGCTGGAAACTGCTCCCCAGCTACCCTCCCTGAAGCAGTTTCCCTTGAAAAGAGATCCAAGGGGCACTTCAGTGGCTGCCACCCGCGTGGCACCTCACCAACCATGTGCCAGGGACTCCAACTTTGAAGTCACTTCAGCAATGTTCATGCATCATATCTTTCACTCTCTCCTCAGCATCAGTACTTGGTTGTTTTGCATACAGTTCTTTATTAACTGATTAATTAACTTTTTGCATATTGTTTGAGATGTTGTGTACCATTTCCTGAGGACCTGGATTCCTTCTATAGAAAATGTTGCTGCAGTGGAGTAATTAAGAGTCTGGAGCCAGACTGCCTGGGTTCCCAGCCCAGATTCACTGACTAATAGTTGCAGGAAGATGGAAAAAGTACTGAAGTTTGTGCCTCAGTTTCTTCATTTACAAAATTATAACAATTATGGTGAAGCAAGAATTAAAGACAGACAGTCAATATAGATAGGTAACCAGGTTGGATGCAGTACCTGGAAATTAAATGACAAAAGACACATTAAGAGGAGAGGAAAGGTTTTTCATATGCATATGAGCTAACAAAAGGAGTAGCCAGCTGGTTTGTGTCTGAGCAGTTGGAGACCACCACTGGGAGATTGGAATATTAATGTCTCCAGAGCACTTTGATTACCAAGATCACCTGCCTATACTACCTCTCCCAAAATGTTGCAGAATTAATGCCTCCTGGGCTGCTTCCTGCCTGGATCCCTCCATTTGGCCCTTCCCCTTGCCCATCTCACCTTTTGGCCAACCCACCCAGCATTTCCCAGGCCTTGTCAAGTTTTCAGGAAGGAGAGAGAGAAGGAGGAAGAGGGCAGAAGAACAAAGAAAGTCTAAAATGCATAAAAGGGGCAGGTTGCTCTCATTTCTTGGGATATCAGAAATGAGACACCAGCTATGTCCCCCTTTTCCCTCTCAGGAGAAGTCTGTGTTAGTATTTTTTAAATAAAACCTGCTTTATACACTTGCCTCAGTGTGCTTCTCTAATGTTCAAACTTCAACATTTGAGGAAGCAGAACTCATCACAGATAAATGGTGGTATCAATAGCATTATTGTGAAAATTAAATGCTACATGGGAAGCACTTAGTACAGGGATTTGGCAGTTGTGTGTTTTAAGTCAACATTAACATATGTCTCCCATTGATTCTTTTACCTTTGAAATTTTGCCTTTCAATGCATATATCCTTTTTGAAAATTTGGAGTATGCGTTTTGGTCTGGCTGAGTGTTTAAGGACCTTCCTATCATATTGGGATGGTGGATGTTCTGCCTAGCTTTGGAATCTGCTATAAAATTAGGTTAACCTAGAGTGTAACACACAGTAAACACTTGAAAATGGTAGTGATTTCTAGTGGGAGCTCTGTTAAAAGTTAGTCTCTGCCTCCATTTATTCCTCTTCACTCTCATTTACACAATGAACATTTACTGGGTATCCGTGAATGTCAGGTACTATGTAAATACCAGAGTATTGAAGACAAGTCAGCCATAGTCCTTATCCTCTACAAGACCAAACTCTGAGAGAAGGTACCAGCATACACACACACACACACACACACACACACACACACACAATCTATAATAAGAATTGTGAGATTTTTAGTTGAGGCCTGGATAACATGCTAGGAAAAGTAGAAGGAGAAATTGCTTTCACTTGGTTCTTAAGTGCCACACTCTAGGGTCCAGGCTAATGCACGTGAGAGGCCCTTTGAAAAGGAGAAACATTGAGCATCACATTTGTCATCTGCTTTAGGTTGGCCTAGGAGAATATTCAGGAACCACCTGCTTCTCAAATCACATTGTAAGTACAAATGGCTGAATTACACAGTGAAGCAGAAATAATAACAAGGATTGCTTCAAGCCTGTCATCTGTCCCTCTTAAGCATTCTATAAACAACATCCATCTCTGACAAGATTACTTTTCTGGAGCATGAGGAGAAGTACACCAGGGCTCTTTCTATTCTTTTGTTTCAGGTCATTAGCAGAATAATTGCGGGAGGTGTCAATGCCCCATTAACCATGTTGACTCCATGCTTCTGGGGAATCGCACCTGTCTTTTGCTCAGCCTGAATCTGCTTTGAACTGTGTTTGTTACTCTTTTGATTTATTTACATTCTGCCTTCACAGCCTCCCTCACTAGGTTTCTCCTAAAATACTGGCACTCCAAGGGCTCAGATCACTTGTGTTTTTGTCCCTTCAAAACTCCTCTTGGTAACAAGAGCTGCTGGCTGTCAATCACATTTCAGTTGCCCTATTTGCAGCCCATTTTCTGCAAGAGCAGGGAACTCAGGGTTTTTCTGCCCACATGTGATAACTGGGAGGTACTGAACTGGCCAGGCCATTTCATTTGTGCTCTGTTATTAGATTCAGCAGTCCTGACTCTAATAGGAAAAAGCAAGGAAACCTATGGTGACACGGGGCTAATGAAGGAGCAGGATTCCTGGCAATACTGCCTGAAAATCGGTTCACTAATACTAAGAACTGGGGGAACAGAGAAAATAGGAGGAAAACGAGTTTAGTTTGGGAAACTTTGGGATCTCTTTCAAGCCATCCAAGTGGAAATACAGAGAATACATATATAAATGTGTAGTTTCAAACAAACAAACAAAAAGAAGTTAAAGTTACAGAGTACACACACACACACACACACACATGAGAACCTTCAGGTTATAGAATTTCTTAAATCCATAAGACTGGATGATGTCATCAAGGAAGTGAATATTTATGGAGAAGAGATCAAAGAGTTCTAGGGCCTTCCAAAGTGTAGACATCAGGGAAAGGAAGAGGACCTAGCCAAAGAGATCAAGGAGTAATCAATAAAGCAGGGAAGTTTGGAACCTAGAATCCTGAAAGCATTTCAAGAAGGCAGAATGATCAATTTTTCCAGTCAGCTGAAAGGTCAAGTGTGGTGGGGATTGAGAACTGTCAGGTTTAGCAACTTAAAAGTTTCTGTTAACATTGACAAGAGCACTTCAGGCAAGTTGGCTCTGGCCTTGGAGCCCATGTTCTCCCATACTAACTTTTGGGGTTCTAGCCCTCTGCCTCCCAGACCTCTGGCCTCTTCTTCTGGCTCTCAGCCTCTCAACATTCTTGGACTCTTTTGCCACTGCCTTGATCTTCTGTATTCAGATATTGCCAAATTTCTCAACTGCTTGGGATCAGCAACCGTTTAAAAAACCTGTATAAGTATGTGCTCTTTCTGCACATATGCAACACATATATAGATTTATGTATATAATTTCAGGTGCTCATGGACTTCCTGATTCTTGGGCCTGTTAAGAAATCCTTACTCTAGTTTCATCAAATAATTTTCCCTTCACCTCTGGGAGCTCAGAGTTTTTAAAGTCAGTTTGCCAGTCCCCAGGCCCAAAAGCCTTCTCAGATCATTGTTCAAATTAAAGACAGTTAGAGCTAAGAGCATGTTCTTAATTTAAGCTTTCAGGGAGACAAATTTGAGGTAAAACCAGTAGTCCTGTAACCAATTCAAAGATATGTTAAATATGATGATTTCATCTGTATTCACACCTTCTTAGTTTGACTTCAGATCTGATATCTTCTAGTTACCATAGATGGTTACACTAAGGACAGCCAAATCCCCTAGGCCAAGGATCTAAAATTAACATCCATGGGGACCAGAAGTTGAAAGGCATGGAAAATCATCTTGTTACAGAGTCTGTGGTGAACAGACAAGGAGAAAGCATATATACTTGGTTTAAAAAGAGAAGTTGATACTCTGCTCAAACAAATTGTTGACTTGCAAGAATTTCAGCTCAAGTTGGGTGTGATCATGCAAGCCTAGAATCCCAGCTACTTGGAAGGCTAAGGCAGGAGGGTCACAACTTTGAGCCTAGGCTGGGCAACTTAGTGGGATTTTGTCTCAAAAAAAAAAAAGGTCTAGGGATTTAGCTCAGTGGTAAAGAGTCCCTGGTTCAATCCCCAACACCACCACCAAAAAAAAAAAAAAAATCAGTTCAACAATACTAGAACTTCAGATTTTTTGAGATAATCTAAAATCTTGATTTTCATACAGACTATGTAGGCAGAAGCGTAACTCTGATGACCAGCTTATGATCCCTTAGCTAGGCAAAGTCAGAGAATGTAGGTTAATTTTATTGTAGAGCCCACTTGAAAACTCTTTTCATCATTTTGACAGATTGTGTTTTCAAAAAATAGTGAAAGCAATATTTCTAGTTGTATTAGTCAGCTTTTTGTTGCTGTGACAAAACACTTGAGATAAACAACTTAAAAGGGGGATGTATTTTTGGCTTTTGGGTTCAGATATTTCAGTTCATGGTTGCTGGCTCCACTCTTTCTGGGCCTGAGGTAAGGCAGAACATCCTGATGACAGGGGACAGGGGAGGAAATTTGCTCACCTCATGGCAGCTGGAAGCAAAGAAAAATAGAGGAAAGGGCCAGGGACAAAATATAATATTCAAAGGGATGGCCCCCCACCAGTGACATACTTCCTTCAACTAGGCCCCGCATCCAAACACTATAGCATTAGGAACCAAACCTTGGGCACATGAGCTTTTGGTGGACGTTTTAGATCCAACCCATAACAACAGTCCTGCATATTTTTGAATGTAGGACTTGACATTCATATCAAGTGAATCTGGAATGAGGAAGACCCTTGTAACCACCTTGACAAACAGTATGTGGTTTGTGTGATGCTGCACAACTTAAGGTCGGGTCCTGCAAAGTGATACGGTTTCTACTCATTCTGTCTTGGGACACTGACTCTTGGAATCCAGCCCCAAGGCTGTGAGGAAGCCAAAGGAGCCTACACAGAGATCATTAGCAGAGATGCACTGTTATGTTTTAGTCCTATGCCAGGCAAGGCCCCTGGAGCTGTCAGTTATGAATGGGAGAAAGTTAGTAAATAGTAAGTAGGGCCTGGCAGGGGAATTAGGGCCTTGCCATGTGTGCCTGCAGGGGGCACCAATCACACAGAACACCGTAACCTAGTCAGTCTAGGAAGTGAGGCCCAGTGGGAGCAGAGCCAGGAGCAAGTAAGCACCTGGCTGATCTAACCTGAACTTAATGCCAAGGTGAGTGGGGTGAGTGGAGGGCACAGTGCACGGGGCAAGTCAAGTGCCCAGGAGGGGGGGCTGGCCTGGAGACAAGGCACTGGAATGAGCCTAGGCACTTGGTCAGCATGGATGATTTCGGCTGAACAAATTAAGCATTCCATTATGGAGCACATTCTGGGAACATCTCACAGGTTATGGTGTCTGTGTGGGATTTTGAGACACCCTCCATATCCAGGGCCTACTGCAGATACCAAAATCTATGAAAATCTGTGCATTAAAGTCTTTTCTATTAAATGGCATTTTTGCATATAACATGTGCACATCTTTCTGTTTGCTTTATACCATCTCTAAATTATCATATTATCGTATCAAATATCACTATGTTCTGTGAATAATTGTTACACTGTATTGTTAGGGAATAATGACAAAAAAGCCTGTATTGTTTTT